CCTAAATTCCTATTTTGCACATCCCAAAGAAACTGAGATATGTCTTGTTGATTTGAATTGTAACTGGTTGTATTTAGTCTTTTACTATGACATATAATATTGATGCACTGTATATAACTTAAAACTTGCAGCTCTGCTCTGCAAGTCACATAAAGCATAAAGATTTTGTTCAGTAATATACTTAGCTCCTCCAAACTAACCAACCACTACTTCTTCCAACTACTTAACAAGTTTTCAAAAAAGGAGGCTGTGTACAAAAATAACACTGAAGAATCACAAGGCAAGAAGGTAGAGACAGGACTGAAACAACACTCAGAAAAGTTGCCCAGTCTGACAAAACACATGCTGTCTTTTAAAAATAGTGATCCTGTTGTTAGAACGTCAGAAGCAGGAAGCGGACCTCTAACTACTGTAACTAGATCTGTTTCTCTCTTTCTTCCAGAGGAAAGAAAAGCAGAAGCGCTGCGAGCGTCACCTGGAGTCTGCAGCGGTCCCGGCTCAGAAAGCTCCGCGAGCCCCAGGAAGGTCTGTCTCAGCCCGGGATGCAGAGCTGCTGCTCCAGCCCCCGCCTGCGCCCGGGCACCCGCGCCTGACCGCTGCCGCCTGCTCCGCGCTGAAGGGCTGGAGGCACCGCCAGCTCCCGCGCAGCCAGCCTCGCTCCGCACGCCACGGTAACCCCCGGACCCGGGCTGCGGGGCTCTGACTGCACGCTGGGGGACGTGTATTCCACTGGGGGTAGACTTGGCAGCTCAGTAGGTCACACGCTTCACGCGTAAGCCGATCTATTGCTACCTTGCAGATAGAAATAAAGCTTTGAGGCTCTGTAGGGAAGCGGTCAGGGAAGTTTGGGCACCGGCTGACAAAGCACCGACTCCCCACGTGCGTTATTTTACAAAGGCAGAGCTCGCACAGAAATACCGCCGCGTTCGCAGCGGCACCACCACGCCTCGCTCCTTCTGCAACGCAACACCCACCCCCCGGCACCCCGCCCGGCTCTCCCAGGCCACCTGGTCTGACCTGACCTCACCTGACCTGGTCTGACCTCACCTGACCCGGCCGAGGGCTGGGGACTAAGCCGCGGGTGCCAGCCCAGCCCCTGGGGCCAGCCCGGTGGGTGCCAGCCGCGCAGCATCGCTCGGTTTTGCGGCAGGAGGGGGCTCGGAGGGGCCACGCAGGGGCCTCGGCACCCGCTTCAGAAGGGTGCTCGCTGCTGAGCACCGGGGGCTGCAGCGCCCGCGCAGCTCCTGCCTGCGGGCTCGGGGCACTGATGGTTTAGATTTATTTGCAACACAGCAGCGGTAAAGCAAATGATTTAGGAAAATGATGGGATAAACTGCCAGACTAGAAATAAAGGTCTACACGAATACCACATAAACAGAGCTACAGGTAACTTCAGACTGCTGGCAATGTGTAACTGCCCAAGTAACAGGCACCGTGAGCTGTCCCCGTGCTAAGGTGTAGGGCGGAAAAGCAGCTGCTGCTCCTCTTGCACCTTCTCCCCCTTGGAAGCAACGAACAGTGACTTTGTGGGGTGCCAACTCGAACCAGCAGCGTCCTGTGAGCAGCTACTGCCAGGGTGTGAGCAGGGGCAGGGAGGGGAAGGCAGAGATCAGCCTCAAGGACAACCAAAACCGAGGCTGAAAGAACACCACTGGGAGAGACAGACAGCTCGCCAAGCAGAAATATGGTAAAAAAGAGCAAGATCGGGGGGTGGGTGTTGCGTTGCAGAAGGAGCGAGGCGTGGTGGTGCCGCTGCGAACGCGGCGGTATTTCTGTGCGAGCTCTGCCTTTGTAAAATAACGCACGTGGGGAGTCGGTGCTTTGTCAGCCGGTGCCCAAACTTCCCTGACCGCTTCCCTACAGAGCCTCAAAGCTTTATTTCTATCTGCAAGGTAGCAATAGATCGGCTTACGCGTGAAGCGTGTGACCTACTGAGCTGCCAAGTCTACCCCCAGTGGAATACACGTCCCCCAGCGTGCAGTCAGAGCCCCGCAGCCCGGGTCCGGGGGTTACCGTGGCGTGCGGAGCGAGGCTGGCTGCGCGGGAGCTGGCGGTGCCTCCAGCCCTTCAGCGCGGAGCAGGCGGCAGCGGTCAGGCGCGGGTGCCCGGGCGCAGGCGGGGGCTGGAGCAGCAGCTCTGCATCCCGGGCTGAGACAGACCTTCCTGGGGCTCGCGGAGCTTTCTGAGCCGGGACCGCTGCAGACTCCAGGTGACGCTCGCAGCGCTTCTGCTTTTCTTTCCTCTGGAAGAAAGAGAGAAACAGATCTAGTTACAGTAGTTAGAGGTCCGCTTCCTGCTTCTGACGTTCTAACAACAGGATCACTATTTTTAAAAGACAGCATGTGTTTTGTCAGACTGGGCAACTTTTCTGAGTGTTGTTTCAGTCCTGTCTCTACCTTCTTGCCTTGTGATTCTTCAGTGTTATTTTTGTACACAGCCTCCTTTTTTGAAAACTTGTTAAGTAGTTGGAAGAAGTAGTGGTTGGTTAGTTTGGAGGAGCTAAGTATATTACTGAACAAAATCTTTATGCTTTATGTGACTTGCAGAGCAGAGCTGCAAGTTTTAAGTTATATACAGTGCATCAATATTATATGTCATAGTAAAAGACTAAATACAACCAGTTACAATTCAAATCAACAAGACATATCTCAGTTTCTTTGGGATGTGCAAAATAGGAATTTAGGAGTTGGGCTGCATGTTTTTTTCCATGGACTTGTACATAATAAGAGAAATGTCACACAGTTTCTAGACATCTGTCTTCTGCTTACTGCTCTGCCACTGACTGTCGCTCCAGGGGACAGTTAGGAGGGTCACCCCTCTGCATCCTCGGACTGTCCAGACAGATACATACAGAATGCATGATATCAGGTGCCCCTTCCCCCCCGCTGTGTTTTTACCCTGCTCTTCAGTGACTTCATTTGGCAGTGTTTCCTCCACACGGACAACCCCAGGAGATGCTTCTCGTGGCACAGAGTTGGTTATTGTTTATCGCAGTCTGGGCTGCGTGGGTCGGCTTTCTGCAGATGGGTGCAGAAAAAAAGAAAAGAGACTTCACTCGTGTCTGGTCTTTTCAGGATGAATCTTCAAGTCACGAGTGTAACCAGCGCATGATTCTCCTGTACGGTGTCGGCAAGGAGCGTGATGAGGCGAGGCATCAGCTGAAGAAGATTACCAAAGACATCCTCAAGATTCTGAATAAGAAGAGTACGACAGAAATGGGTGGTAAATGCTTTAACGCTGCTGTGGGTGGCCTGTGGCGGGGGTGAGAGGGCTGTGAGGGTCAGTGCATTGTCTGGAGCCGTGTGTTGATCACGTCCTTTGGCTCTCGGCCCCCGGCAGCGGCGCGTGAGGCGCTGCCCAAGCCGGCCTGTCCCACGCTGCCGCCACGCAGAGTCCTGCGCCTGGAGCCCGCTGTAGCCGCTGGGCTGCACCCCCGGGGGAGACTCGGGGCTGCCGCTGGTGCCCGCTCCTGCCCTCCCACAGAAGCTGAGGCTGCTCCTCAGCCTGTCTCGGGGGTCACCGTTTTGCACGGGAATAACCTCGAAGTAGCTTTGGTATCGTTACATGCTGTGGCACACATTTGTCCCAAATACCGTGGAAAACTGAGGCAGGCAGGGTTTTATGTAGGCATGAGTAAAGCTTATGAAGATTTTGATTGTCTTTTAAACCAGTCATAATGCAAAACTGCTAGGGCTCTGTTAAATATAAAATGACCATTGTAATTTTTTGTCTGTTAAGTTGGGGATGAAGGGCAAAAAGCCAGGAAGACCAAACAAGAAGCATTTCCAACCCTAGAGACCGTGTTCACAAAACTACAGCAACTGTCCTATTTTGATCAACATCAGGTGACATCTCAGGTACTGCCCCTGTGTAAAATCACAGCCTTGCACGCTCTGCTCTGCAGAGACCAAATAGGAAGCAAATCGAGGCTTTTGGGACTGTTTTGTATAGACCAAGAATTTTTGGTGCACTGCTTTAAAGGCGAGAGGAAAAATGCTGCTTTGGTGTTCTAAAACACCGGCTTCCCTGGAAATTTGGGTGTTTGGCTGGTTTGTTTGGGGGGTTTTGTTGGATTGTTTTGGTGTTTGGTTGGTTGGTTTGGGGTTTGTTTGTTTTGCAAGAAGCTGTCTGGATTATTACAGATGTCATGATTTTGTAATGAAAAATTTGAAATAAATTTACATAAATTTCCCTTAACAGCATCGTTTAGGGCTCGTTGCTAATTGAGGTACTTATTAGCCAATCTCTTGCATGTGTGTAAGGTGTGTTATGAAGGACAGTGAACAATCCGGGGGTTTGTGCAACAAACTGAGTATCTCAGAGAAGCTGGTGGATAATTCAGTTTGTTCTTTTCTGGATATTTGGGTTTATAGCCTTTATCAATACGATGCTGTATCAGTGGCTGACTGGAGAACATAAATAATATGTTTTAAATGACAAGCCCAGTTTTTCTGGTTTATATTAGGACTTGTAAATGTGCAAATATATCAGGATTTAATCACTTTGTCAGGTGTTACTGTTTTAAAGTATATTTTAATAACCAGAGGCTAGCATAAAAAGCAAACTGAGAGAGCTACATGTTTGATACTTAATTTATAACACCTATTTGGGTCTGGTCTTTTGAATGATTTCCGACAGGTTTTGTTTGCAGGATAACGTGTGATTAATTATCTGAAAACCATCAATAAAGAAATCACAATGCAGTCAGATGAAAGGGAAAACGATTTAGCCTTTTTTTAAAGGTCAAATACTCCACAGAATAAAAATCAGTATTGTAGGTGTCAAGAACAGTTTGACTCTCAGCTGTAAAGCAGCAGAACAGCATTTTCTATGTTGTCAGTTTTGAAAATAAAACGGCATTACGACTAGGATAGAGGAATAGATGTGCTCATGCATGATTCGTTAGTGCTTTTGTCTGCAAAATGCTGTCACTTGCTATTACCTCATATAAAACAGGGGTTTTGGAGCAGGGATGTATCTGAGAAGCCCTCGTCACTGTGTGACTTCTCCACATTTGTTTTCACAGATCTCCAGTAACGTTCTAGAGCAGATAACTAGTTTTGCCTCAGGAACATCCTACCACCTTCCCTTGGCTCACCACATACAGCTGATCTTTGATCTCATGGAGCCAGCACTGAATATCAATGGGCTTATAGACTTTGCAATACAGGTAAACAGGGTTCATTTTCGGGGGCGTTATGTCAGGAGAAAGCTGTGATACATTTTCTGTAAAAACAGAACAAACCCGAGAGCCAGACTGCAGATTCTCCCGATCTGCTGCCTTGCGCTTTCATCTGTTTCTGTTTTCTGAGCTCTCAGTGCCAGCTGCTTCCCCTTCTGTTTCACTTTGACAGTTATGGAGAATCAATAGATGCATTTTATTTTAAAATCTTTCAAAATTAATAAAATTCTGGATTATTTTAGCAGGAAGTATTTTTAGGATGGGCTTCTCTGTTTCAGGCTGAACGATCGTATTGCACAGTAAAGCGCCTGGGTGCCAGAAGTGCTGTGTATCTGAAGAGCAGTTCTGAGGGACATTTCTGATACTTTAACAGTTTATTTTGCTCCTCTTTCCCCTGTTCCGTAGTAAGGAATTTCATTTTTGTTTGCCGTACAGTTTTTCCTTAATGTATTTTTCTTTTTTCACGTATTTTACGTGTTTAGCTTGGCAGTGGTGTTGAGTTTGTGGTGTCTGTGTGTGCGTTCCCAGCTGCTGAACGAGCTGAGCGTTGTGGAGGCAGAGCTGCTGCTGAAGTCCTCCAGCCTGGCCGGGAGCTACACCACGGGGCTCTGCGTCTGCATCGTGGCCGTGCTGCGGCGTTACCACGCCTGCCTCATCCTCAACGCGGAGCAAACCGCCCAAGTCTTCGAAGGGTTCGTGGCAGCTACTCTTTTCCAGAAAGATGTATTTTTTGGTGTTCTCTCTTAAGCAAAAACTGCCTCGGGGTTGAGGTAGTGAGGCCGGCTGTGGCCCCGCTGTTGGAAGGCCACCAGGGAGCAGGGCTGAGGGCAGCGGGTGGCTCCCGCCGCTGGGGCTGGCAGGACTTCATCGGGACGAGGGGGGAGCTGCGTGTCTTTGATTTTTCTGCCCCCTCGCCCCATTCCGCCCTGGGCTCACCGAGTGTCTCTGTGTCTTCTCCTCCCTGGGACCCCGAAGCTGGCGAGCCCCCTCAGGCTGCAGAGCCAGGCCTGTCTTTGCAGTGCCCAGGGAGCGGAGGGGTCTCCGTGAGCTCGAGCAGCACGAGGCGCCGTCCGGGGGTGTGTTGGAACGAAGGGTTTGACTTTTGCAGGTTGTGCGGGGTGGTAAAGCACGTCGTCAATCCCTCGGAGTGTTCCTCCCCAGAAAGGTGTATCTTAGCTTACCTCTACGATCTCTACGTGTCCTGCAGTCACCTGAGAAGCAAGTTTGGAGACCTTTTCAGGTGGGTGCTAGTGGGACTTTTCCCAGCGCTGCCTGGCCTGCTGCGGGCTGCGCTGGTTTCAGCCCGGTTGCTGTCCGTGGAAAACACCCCGCTGGCACTTTACTGTTACTGGGGCAGTTCCCTCGCCCCTGCCAGCGGCAGCGCAGGGTCCTGAGCTGCCCAACTTGTATGTATGTAGTTGTATGTAGTACATACAACATTGGGTGGAAAAATAACAAAATCTTAGCTGACACAGCTGTAACAGACTATTAAATATTGCCTTTGATGTGGGGAGAGGCACAAACATGTTTGAGTTTGTGAAGTTTCAAGCTTGAATGTTCAGTTCCTTGATTTTTAAATTAAAAAAATATTTTAGGTACCCATGTGCTGTATTTTTCGCTCTTACTTTTTAAAGGAGGAGTGGAAACCTGCCATATGCAAATATGCATATTGTGAGACCTACAAACCACTTCAGTTACTGTTTCCCCTCCTAGTTTATATACCTGGGTTTGGTTTGCGTATTTCAGATTTGTGGTTTTCATTTCATAGGGAGCAGGAAAAGAGTTCTCAGTAATAATACCTTAATAGGTTTGCAAACACATGGGAACAATAGCATTTAATATGAGAAACACTAGGAAAAAGAAGTATGA